CTGGAGCAAATGTTGGTGCTTCCTTTCCACTCTGCCATTCTGTTGTGGAGTCTCTACACAGTTAGTTTGGTGAATAATTCCATTTGAAGAATAAAAATCATGTAATAGAAACTCAGTACCATTGTCTGATCTCAGAATTTGAATTTTCTTATTGAACTGAGTTAGCACCATATTATAAAATTGAGATAAAAACTTTTTGGTGCCAGATTTGTGAACAAGTGGGTATATCCAAATAACTCTGCTATAGTCATCAACTATAGTGAGAAAATATTTGAAGCCAGAATGTGAAGTAATAGAAAAGGGGCCCCACAAGTCACAGTGAATTAGAGCAAATGGTGTTGTAGAAACTGAATCACTATCATGAAATGGTAATCTTTTTTGTCTAGAAAAGTGACAAACATCACAGGCATGAGTAGAAAAAAGACTTGTTTTACATACAGGTAGCAAACTCAATTTACTAAAAGATAAGTGTCCAAGTCTGTTATGCCATAGAGTTGATGTTTCTGATACAGAGTTAGAAGATACATGGTTACCATTGGATTCAGAGGATACATGGTTATCAGTGGATTCAGAGGATACATGGTTATCAGTTTGTACAGAATGAATAAAAGATGTAACAGGTTTATGAATAGAAAGGTGATAGAGCCCATCAATGAGTTTAGCAGAACCAATCATTTGATGAGTGTTTTGGTCCTGTAACATACATGAAGATGATACAAATTGAACAATGCAGTCATTGTGATCAGTTATCTTGGAGACAGATATCAAATTGAATGTGAAGTGTGGAACATATAAAGCATTCTTAAGCACAATATGATCAGATAAATGAATTGTGCCTGTGTGAGTAGCAATAGTGTGAGAGCCATTAGGTAAATTGACTTTTATTTCAGCAGGTTGAGGAATATCAGAAAATAAAGATAAGTCACACAACATATGATCAGTTGCACCAGTATCCAATATCCAAGTGTATTTAGAGAGATGTCTAGAAACAGTGCAAGAGTATATAGAAGACTTACCTTGGATCTCAGGATAAGCAGTGGCTACCATAGGATTTATGGTGTTGGGCACATTGGAATTATGATTTTCCTGAGATCTTCTGAAGGCTAAAAACTCATTGAAAAGCTCATTAGTAACAGAGTCAGTGGTGGCTTTTGCATTAGTAACAGAGATGCTAGAGTTATCAACAATGGCAGCATGTGCTGAGTGGTTTGGATGGATTCTGGGACCCTTTAGACCAATCCAGTTTGGGGGATAACCAATTACCTGAAAGCACCTTTCTGAGGAATGATTGTAGTATCCACAGTGAATACATTTGGTTTTTGGTTTGTCTTTGTTGGGAAATGAAGGCTTGGCATTTGTGTCTTTTGAAAAGTATTGTTTAGGATGTTTGTAAGAAGTATTTTGAGACTTAGCCAACATGACAAGGGAATCAGTGGGTTGAGATTTAGCCAACATGGCAAGGGAATCAGTGGTTTGAGTGTTGTTGGTTAAGGATCTCTGGCTTTCTTCTTGTAAGAGTAAGGAATACACTGTGGATAATGTGGGTAAAGGTGTGGATAGCAAGAAATGACTCCTCAGAGAGGAATAAGAATCATGTAGACCAACTAAGAATTTCATCACAGAATCATGTTGTTGAGATGCAGCCATTGCCTCAAACAAAGCACATGTACAATGAACAAAAACACCACAAGTACATTTAACCAAGGGCCTATATGTCACATATTCATCCCAAAGAGATTTAAAAAGATTATAGTATTGGGTAACAGACAAAGAACCTTGATCAATGTTACTTAATGATTTTTCTAACTGAAACACACGGGGACCACTAGACATGGCATATCGAGTACGAATTTCATCCCAGATGTCTTTAGCATTTGTGAAAAATAGTAAGGACTGCCGAATATCTTTGGATATGGAATTTAACAGCCACGAGAGAACAAGGTTGTTCGCTCGATTCCAAGCAAGGTATAGAGAGGGATTACCAGTAGGGGATGGAGATGTGATCGTACCGTCGATGAATCCAAGCTTATTCTTCACACTCAGCGCCATGGTGACTGCTCGGCTCCAGGAGACATAGTTGTCGCCGGCAAAGGGATCAGCGACGATCAAGGCACCAGGATTGTCGCTAGCGTGAAGGAAATATACAGAAGATGGATCGTCAGAAGGATTTGCGGCCATTTGCGATCGAAATTAGGGTTTCGGATCAAGCAGATCGAGTAGTAACAGAAAACAAAGATCAGAGTACGAGAAATTGCGGAAAACAGATCAAATCGTCCCAGCGAATGATACCATAACAAGATTCTAGAGAATCTGAGAAATCATGATGAACAAGATCGAAGAACTCGAGAGAGAAAAATGGGAAAAGAGAAAATTGCGCACTTGAGTTGCTAGAATGAAAACTTAGGGTTCATTACAAGTACAAGACCCTTTATATATCCCTATTA